GGGGGGGGGGGGGGGGGGGGCTGCCACTAAAACCCTGTAGTCTGACACTATACAGACTTCACAAGTAATCGCTGGATCTTTAAGCTGTTCTATTTAAAAAGAAAAAGCAACCCCAAGATCCTTTGCAGCTGCTGTCTGGGGCAGCCTCTGCTACCCCAAAGATGATATCAGGCTGGACACCTCCTTGAGAAGGGGATGGGGAGATCAAAAAAATCCACCAAACCTGCTAAAAACCTTCAGAGGAAAAGTTAAAAGCTGAATCTGGAGAGCTCAGCTGAGGATTGGCTGAGCAAGGCTGGTGCTAGGACAGGTACTTGGGGGATGTAAGTGTTAAAGAAAGCAAAATAAATCACATTGGGTCGAAGCTTGAACTGCCCAAGAGGAGAAAAAAGGCTGATGACCTTTGGGAGCAGAGAGGGCAGAGCTGCCACTGAGCCTGGAGACTCTGGAAGTGGGTTAGACAAACTCTGGGAGTCCTCTTAATTGAGCCGAGGCAGCGAGATCATGTGGTACAAGAGGTTTTTCCTCCTCCAATTGTCTTTTAGATCAAAACAAAAAGGAAAAAACAACCCGAAGGTGCCAGCAGGATGCTCCTCCTCAGCCTTACAAAGAATCCATTCTGCTCTGAGCCTGCATTCCTAGGTAGTGATAAATCCAGCGAGACAAGGCTTGGGCTTCATCACCTCAGTCACACAGATACAGTGCAGTGGCACAGCAGGCAAGACACATAAAATTAAATTTCAGAATAAAAATGGGAAATAAAAACGATTGCACAGTGGCCTTAAATTCTGTGTAACCCACAGGACTGCAACACGAAACCCTTCCTGGTTTATAAGGTGACATAAAAGGTAAATCAAGTGTGAATCCACCTCCCTCCTCACTGCTTAAGCCAACCCTACTCCATCCCTCTGTGCCAGCCAGGTGCTGCAGCACAGACAGTGGCTCCGGGGAACATGAAATCCCGGGGAAATGCAGGGATAAAGGGAAGCAAAAGGAGACAATAAAAATACCACACCATTAGAAGCTGCCTCACATGTAAGTGAACGGATCAAGGGGGGGTTGCATGAAAAAAATCAAGTTGTCCTCAAGAAAAGTCAAGTTTTCCTCACAACCTTTCCATCCCAGATTTTGCTTGCAAGTCCCCAGAGCGTACCAGAGGGTCCATGAGAGCTTTTCAAGTGGCAAAATATTCTCTGTTTGACAAACCATCCTCCTGTTAGAGATTGTGGAGGAGCATCACGAGGCTCCCCTATCTCCGGTGTCAGCCCCGGCACCATCCTCTCCACACACCTTTGAAGATGAAGGTACTGCAAACAGCCTCAATCCCTATCAACTGTTATCACTCCAGAGAAAAACAAACTGCCTTCAGATCCCCATGCCTGGATCTCCTCTACCCCAACCCGGAACCACAACCACGGAGCTCAACAACCCGAGCTACTCGTGCCAACAAAACCAACCCAAATCCAGTTTTTCTCCCCGTGAAGAGGGGGGAGAAAAAAAAAAAATCCACAATCACATCATGTTTATGGAATAAATGCCAGCTGGTCCCTTCCCTTTGACATTTAGCTAATAATTGTTCCAGCCAAACAACCTGACAGCGCTGGGCTCAGTAGCCCATGAATGCCTCTGGTGTTTTACTGAGCGCTAAAGACAACACTTGCTGCTCTCTGGCTCCTCATCCATGTGGTTACACACACACACACAGAGCTCTCCTTAACCCTTCAGCCCTCTCCAGCCCTCAGGAATCATCAGCAGGATGTGACGACTCCTTGTGCTTCACTTTAAGCCGTTTTTTCCACCTCGTACCTTCCACGAACCCACCCTGGGGGCAGCAGCCAGGATGGAGGGGAGAAGAAAAAGAGGAAGGTACGACCTCCTCCTCCTCCTCCTCCTGCTGGGAGAGAGACAGCAAGAGGACTGGAATTTGCGCCTCATTAACTCCCTGCTGATCCCTACAGATACTTTTGTGATTATCCAGCCAGCCATCAAACCCTGGCCCCTCTCTTACAAGCATCCCAGCTCCAGTTGTAGCACAACCCTTCATTTATACCTTGAAGCTCCTCTTTAGTAACTTTAACACCATTTTACCCACTGGTGACATTCCTCCCCTTTAAATTTCACCTGAGCTGGATCTCCATTTCCCAAAAGACCCTTTTGGGCCCAAATTACAGCTGTTTCAAACAAATTAAGTCAAGAAACCTCCCCAGAACTCCTCCCTTTATTACTCTGCACATGAGGGGAGTGTTAGGTTGGATTTTAGGGAAAGGTTCTTCCCCCAGAGGGTGGTTGGCACTGAACAGGCTCCCCAGGGCAGTGGGCACAGCCCCAAGGCTGCCAGAGCTGCAGGAGGGTTTGGACAACACTCGGAGAGACAGGGTGGGATTGCTGGGGTATCCTGTGCAAGGCCAGGAGATGGATTTGATGATCCTTGTGGGTCCCTTCTGACTCACGATACTCCATCATCTGCTGGGAGCTTACAGACTCCACCACCAACCCCCTCCTCCTTCTCCCTCAGTGCCTCCTCATGCTTCTCTAAGCTGCAAACTCTTCTTGAACACACAGTTCACCACAAACATCACTTTTCCTGTTTAGCCAAGCCTTTGCGACAGCCCCCTGGGGTGCCTGTACCTGCTGGCTCAGCTGTTGTCCCATCAACCTCCCCAAGGTGCTCAGCGCTTGCCGTGCTGGGACTCAGCTGTTCTGCGCTCCAAGAGCTGGCCGTGCCAGTCTCTCGCTGAAGAGAAAGGTGTTTAAAAAGCGCAAGATGTCTCAGCATTACTGGTAGCTGCGCTCGGGGGGAAGGAAGAAGCAACTTCCAAGGGCCAGCCAAGGCCAGGAGCCTGCAGCCAGCCCTTCCCAGCCGGGTCCACCCGGACAGAGCTCCCAGCGGCGCAACAGCTCCCTGCACACCCCGCTCAGTTCAGGAGCGGCATTAACACCTTGCAGTCAGTCACTCCTCGGGCCACGATCTCGGAGCGCTCTACAGGCTCAGTGTGGGAGCTCTGGAACAATTCCCACCGGCACCGACAGCACCGGAGCCGCCTGCCGTGTCCCCTGCCACGCACACGCTGCCCTCCTTCCCCGCGTCCTTGGGCTCTCCACGCCGAGCGCAGAGGCACACGGTGCTGAACGGTGCCCTGGGGAGGTGCCACCGGTGCCACCGTGCCCCGGAGCCTCCGCACGGACCCACCGCTTCTGCTTCCCATGCTGGAACAGCAGCGGGGACAGCGGGCACAGCAGGGTGGTGCTTTGTCCACCACAAAGCCACTCTCACCTGGCAGAGGCAGGAGCGAACTCCCCCCCCACAAAAGTACCTGTAATCGCGCCACGGGTCTGCCAGCAATCCCTTCTGCACACGCAGTGCCCTCGCCAACAAAAGAAGTTGTCTATCTCCGCTTTACAGAGCTATTTCCTGAAATAAATGCCTCTGTTTTATCTTTAAGAGGTGTTTTCAGCACGAGATAAAAAGCCCTCCTCCAGCAAAACCCTCCTTTCACACATGATTTGCTTTGTCATGGCACTTAAACACACACGCTCCGGCTGGAGGATGAGAGCAGCTCTGGCCAGGCACAGGGAAACTTCCCAGCAATACCTGCACGCCTTAAAAAAAATAAATCCTTTTTCCTGGTAGCGATGCCGGCACAGGCCAGTGAATAAAATACCAACAAATCCATCTCCATCCCAAGGTGTGCTGCCAGAGCTCGCTCCATTTTGGGTCACACCAGGCAGCTTCAAATTACATTGCATCTCATCTGCTGCAGAGAAACACAAGCTCGCCGGGGTACAAAGCAGAAGAAAGAGGGCAAAAAATACACATTCAGGCTGTCAAAGCTGGAATAAGCGAGGTAGCACAGAATCACGGAACGGTTTGGGCTGGAAGGGACCTTAGGGATCACCTAATTCCAACCCCCCGCCGTGAGCAGGGATGTGACACCCATAAGGTGTTATCGAGGTGATCCACAACCAGTGCAGTGCCACCAGGGAACCCCTGGCAGCGAGGGGGGCACGGGGCGGCCCCAGATCCCGGGATCTCACCACTGCCCAGACAAATCCAAACGCGTTAATGATGGAGAACAAAGAGGGGACGCAGCTCCCAGTGGCATTGCCGGGATGCTGTTCCCAGCGGACTGGGAGCTGGAAAACGGGAGCTCCAGTTTCTCCTGGATGCAGGAGGCACAGAGGGAGCCATTCGGGCCCACGCGTGCCCTTCACCTGCGACGGCAGCGGGGCGGGCGGTGCAGACGATGCCCTTGCGGACAGCAAAGGCTCCTCCGAGGGCCGGAGCCCCGGACACGAGCCACCGTCACCACCAGCGGCGGGACCACCGGACCCCCGGCACGGTGGGCGATGGCAAGCGCAGTGCCCAGGCCGGGGGGCACCGGGGGCAGGGGGTTTGTGCCGTGCCTGGGCGGTCGCAGCCCGGAGCTCACCTGCTCGGCCCCGTAGGCCGTGGCGAACTGCACGAACTCCTCCACCCGCACGAAGCCGTCGCCGTCGCGGTCCAGGGCGTCGAAGACGGGCCGGAGGCGCGGCTCCTCGTCCGGCGGGGGCTCGGCGGGGCCCCCCGGGACCGGGCTGCCCCCGGGCTCCCCCGGGCACCAGGGCGGCGGCCCCGGGCCGGCACCGGCGGGCTCAAGTGCCCAGAGGTCCAGCTCCGGTTCCAGCTCCAGCTCTGGTTCCAACTCCAGCTCCGGCTCCAGCTCCAGATCCGGGTCCGGCTCCGTCTCTGGCTCCACGTCCAGCTCCGGCTCGGGCCCCGGTCCCGGCCCCCGGGGCAGCGGGGACTCGGTGCCCGGCGGACGCGGCTCCATGTTCACCGGCGGCGCTGCGCGCCCGCCGCCGCCCGCCCCGGGCCATGCCCCGCGGCCATGCCCCGCTCACATCGGGGCGGTGCCGGCGCGGTCCCCGCGGCACACACGGCTTTGTGCGAGGAGCCCGGCCCCGGGGGCGGCCCCGCCGGTCTCGCCCCGCCCGGGGACGCGGCTGCTGCGGGGGCCGGGGATGGGGGAAGCGGCGGCGCCGAGAAACAAGCCCCGCCGCCCGCCCGCCCGCGCCGCCGCTCCGGGGCCGCCCGCGGAGAACCGCCAGATCCAGCCCGGCCGCCGCCGCAGTAGCCGGGGAGGTGACGTCACTCGCCTGCCGGTGCGTCCCGCCCCGCCGCGGCGCGAGCCCGTGAGGAGGCCACGCCCCTCCCCCGGCTCGTGCGCGGCGGGGGCGGGGCCGGTGGGGAGGGGCGGGGCCACGCGGGGCCAGCACGTGGGAGCGGGACCCCCGAACCCCCCCGGGGGACACCGCGAACAGGACCCCCGAACCCCCCCCGGGGGTGAAATGGGAACCAGGACCCCCCGAACCCTTCCGTGGATGAACGGTCCGTGCATCGGGAACCCCAAACCTCTGCAGGGGGCAACTGCGCACCGAGACCCCTGAACCCCTCCGGGGCGGCACCGTGCACTGGGATGTCTGAACGCCTCCGGGGGGAATCGTGCACCGGGATCCCCATGGCCCTCCAGGGAGATGAACCCTGAATCAGGATGGCAAACCCCTCCAGGGATGGCATCATGCTCTGGGACCCCAAACTCCTCTGGGGGGATGAACCGTGCACCAGGACTCCCAGCCCTGTCTGGTGAGGGGCACTGGGCACTGGAACCACCTCTTGGATTAGTGCCCAAATTCAGGGCTCACAGCCCTGTGGGTTCAGTCAGCTGGCGATTTCTGCTGGAGCACTGGGATGACCCCACCGAGGCACCCGTGAACTGGCTGAGCAGGTGGAATTACAGCCCCTGGGTATAATTAGCAGCAAACCTGATGAGCAAGAGAATCTCTGGCCACAGTGACCCTGCCCAGGCCATGGATGTGTGTGATGGCTCAGGATGAGCCTGGTTGGGCCACAATGTGTCCCTCCAGCATGGCTTTCCCAAAGCTTCACAGCTTGAGCTGGAGTTCAGCAGCACCTCTGTCCAATCAGTCCAGTGCTGGGAAGGATAGAAACCTCCACTCCAAATCCTTTCCCTCATTGTAGCCATTTCCAAAGATAAGCGGGGCAGGAGGGGGCTCCTTTGTCAGTCCCACAGGGTGAAGTGCACATCCCACACAGGTACCTTCTCCAGGAGAAAACACATGTCCTATTATCCAGAGAGAGGGATATCCTGGCTGGAGGCAAATCCCAGGAGACCTGGGCAAAGGACAACCCCCAGATCCCAACCTAAGCCCTGCACCCCCATCCCTCTGAAGGGGTCCCTCAGCACCTCCCTGTCACCCCTGGCTGCTGGAACCACCTTCCCAGAGCAGGCTGCCCCTCAGAAGGGGGCAGGTCCCCAAGTCCCGCTGGAGCTCCCCCTGGAGCACTGGGACACCACAGCACTGAGGGCTGGGGTCACACAAGGCTCGGGTAGTGGGACAGTGGTTTTTCCCCCTCCCTCAGGACCCAACACCAGGACCAGTCCCCAGGGCAGGCTGAAGTTGCTCCTGCCCAGAGAGAAGTCACAGCTCAGGGTGCAAATTCTTTATTCGTGGCCTGGAGGAAAGGAGCAGAACCTGGCAAGTTCACAATCAAGTAGGAAATACAATTAAGTGGGAAAACAAGCTTCATGGAATTCAGGATGAGGCTAAAAACTGCCTTCAGCAGCAGGAGGCTGCATGGGAGCAGTGTGTGCCCCCAGGGTGCTGGCACCCCAGTCCTCTGGGAGGAGCTGCCTTCACACCAGCTGCTCCTGGGAGAGGGGCATCCCAGCTGCACCCACGGCAGCCTTCAGGATGCCCTCTCTGGACCACTGGAGGGGATGAGGCCACTTCCCCCTGCCAGGGGCCAGTTGGTCCCTGTTTCCCCTCTGAGACCTGCCGGCTCCTGCTGCAAAGGTAGAGCTGACCCCACCACATTGGGTGATTCTGACCCCAGGTGAGCTGAGCTACTTCCCCGCCCTCAAAGGAGCTGCTGCTGGGGGTCCTGGGCAGTTCTCAGGCTGAGATGGGGGGAAAAGAAGATGGATATCCCAGGGGGGCACTGCCTGGGACTTTGGAAAGGCCAGGAGAGCGGCTCAGAGGGACACAAAGGGACAGTGACCGTCACAGCCCCACCCCTTGTGCTGTCCCTGCACCCTCAGCCACAGCAGCTCAGAAGACAGTCAAGGCACAGGATGGGGGTGGGACTGCTCCCCACCCAGGAACCCCTGAGCTCTGTCCCCCAGGCAGACACAGGGTTGGCAGTGTCACCACCACCAGTGGCCACCCAGAGGCCATGGCACCTGCTCTGGGAGAGGCGTCACAGGGCAGCTTCAGTCACGTCTGTCCGTCGGTCAGTCCCACGCTGTCCATCACTGGGGTTGGTTTGCTCCTGCAGACCAGAAACCTGCAAGAGAAGGTGGAGGTGAGGACAGAGCTCTGCCCTGCCAGGCCTGGCTCGTGGGTGCTGCTGGGTGGGACACAGGCAGGGGAGATGGTAAGGAAGGAGACCCCTTTCCCTGACAGGCTGAGGGGAACACATACAAGGAAGAGGCTGGTGTGACTCTCTGTGCCCAATCCTGCTGCTTGGGCACAGAAAAAGGGACATCACGTTGCCTTGGGGGACACTCTGAGGTGTCTGGACAAGCATCGAGTGGGAATGACAAGAAACACCAGGGCACAATGCAGGCTCAAAGGAAAAACCAAGCAAGTTCTCCTGCCCTTCTCAAGTCATCCCTAGGAGTGTCCATACCCACTGCCATGGCAGACATGCACGTAGAGAATCATGGAATTGTTTAGGTTGGAAAAGCTCTCTGAGATCATTAAACCCAACTGCTCTCCCAGCACTGCCAAGGCCACCACTGACCCACGTCCCCAAGTGCCACATCCACACGGCTTTTAAATCCCTCCAGAGACGGGGACTCCACTACTGCCCTGGGCAGCTGTGCCAGGGCCTGACCACCCTTTCAGTGAAAAAAAATTCCCAATATTCAATATAAACCTCCCTTGGTGCAACTTGAGGCTGTTCCCCCTTGTCCTGTCCCTTGCTCCCTGGGAGCAGAGCCTGATCCACCCCGGCTCCCCCCTCCTGTCAGAGAGTTGTAGAGAGCAAGAAGGTCCCCCCTGAGCCTCCTTTTCTCCAGGCTGAGCCCCCCCAGCTCCCTCAGCTGCTCCTCATCAGACTTGTGCTCTATTCCACAGGGAAAGTGTTTCCCTGAGGACCCTGCTCCGCCCCCCGGGGGGAAATGCACGTCACCTAGAGTTTAGCAGAGGATGAGGCAATACCCAGCAAGGCAGAGAAGCTGTTGGCAGAGGTGAGCCAGCTGCCACCATCCACGACCAGGGTGGTTCCTGTCACGTAGGAGGACAGGGGGCTGGCCAGGTACAGGCTGCTGTGGGCAATCTCCGTCTTGTTCCCCGGGCGCTGCAGGGGGATCACGTCAAACAGGTTCGAGTTCTCAGCAAACTTCCCACCTAAAAGCAAGAGAAAACAGTCAGCTTGGACCGTGGGAGCACCTGCCCATCACCACGGCCTGCCAGGGAACTGGGATGAGATCCTGGGGCAGCCCTGGGGACACAAACCTGAGGAGAGCTAAAGGAGGGGAGCTCAGGCCCAGCAGTGGGGTTTGTACTGACACAGTGAGCTCAACACAGGACCTGAGAGCTTTAGGATCATAGAATGGTCTGGGTTCAAAGGAACCTTAAAGCTCACCCTATTCCAACCCCCTGCCATGGGCAGGGACACCTTTCACCAGCCCAGGGTGCTCCAAGCCCCGTCCAACCTGGCCTTGGACACTTCCAGGGATCCAGGGGCAGCCACAGCTTCTCTGGGCAACCTGTGCCAGGGCCTCTCCACCCTCACAGCCAACAATGCCTTCCCAATATCCCATCTAACCCTGCCCTCTCGCAGTGGGAAGCCATTCCCTGTGTCCTGTCCCTCCATCCCTTGTCCCCAGTCCCTCTCCAGCTCTCCTGGAGCCCCTTTAGGCCCTTCAAGGGGCTCTCAGGTCTCCCTGGAGCCTTCTCTTCTCCAGGTGAATCCCCCCAGCTCTCCCAGCCTGGCTCCAGAGCAGAGGGGCTCCAGCCCTTGGACCATCCTCATGGCCTCCTCTGGACTCACTCCAACAGTTCCATGTTTTTCTCAGCCTCCAGGGCTGCACCACCACTCCACCGACAGACTACAAGAGCCAAACCATCAGGCAAGGCTGAGTTTTGGGGAGGCACGTTCCATCATGGCATCAGAGAGCACAAAAAGATGCCACTCAGGGGACAAACCAGTGCCCTGGGAGGTACCAGGGTTGTGGAAAGGGCTGTTCCCCCACAGGGACGTGCCTTGCCCAGCAGCAACACCCCACGAGCTGTGTGGCACTGGGGGTGCCCCTGGTCCCCTCCCAGGGAGATGCCAGGCGGGGATGGGAGCCCAGGTTGCCTCACCCAGTCTCCGGAAGCCCTCGGTGCCCGTGATGGGTCCCGGGGCCAAGCTGTTCACACGGATGTTGTTGGGTCCCCACTCCACAGCCAGGTGACGGGTCATGGCATCTGGGCAGGGATTACAACAGCAATGAGAAAGGGGGAGCAGAGCCATTCCAGTCACTTTTTTACTGGGGGGTGGGAGGCAGGCAAAAAGAAGACTTTGGCTGAGAATAAAGGATGCTGGGGGCAGGGAGGAAGAGCCTCATCCCAAACCCAGGCATGCAGTAACCACACCCATTCACACTCGCCCCCTCCTCAGGACATCTTCCCATCCCAACATTTGGGAAGAACTGGCTTCTTTATTGGCCACACACAACTCAGAGGCCCAGCAAAGAGCATTGAGGTACCTATAGCAGCCTTGGCAGCCCCGGCATGCACCTGCAGGGCCTGCCCTCGGTAGCTCAGGGTGGCTGTGATGTTAACGATGACCCCGCCATGGTCCTGGGGAAGGAAAGGAGAGGTGGAGTTAGGAAGCAGCACAGAGGGGGAGAGGACAGCAGAGCCTCTCCTCTGAGTGCTCTGGCTGCGGTGCCACTTACCCGGAAATATTTCTCAAAGAGGACTTTGGAGGTGTTGAAGGTGCCGATGGTGTCGATGTCCATCACTGTCTTGAAGGCGTTGAAGGACAAGGCACTGGCTGGGCACAGGAAGTTTCC